GAAAATGGAATTTAAATATTTTTGCAAATTTTATTTTACTAAAAAATTTAATTCATATTTTATTGAAGTAGTTAACGGGTCAATTGGACAGTTTTGCATGTATTATAGAGAAGCTGAAAGTATTTGCAATTTCCTCATTTGCTAAAAAAAAGTTTATGTACAAATTTTAAATCTCAGTTACTTTCTCTAATGACTCTATTGCGAGTTCCTGTGCTTAAAAGTAGAAATAAAATTCAAATAACTACAGAACGATTTGTATGACCCCTGTCTTGGCCAGGGTACTAAAGAGAGAAGTAAATAGTCAATTATATTAGTTGCATAAAAGGATTTACTTGCTTTCATGAAGGCTACCTGGTTTTAAGAAAAAATTCAATACTAAAACAGCAATTGTCGATATGAAGTGTGATCTCCAATGTTAGAGAACAAAATCATTCGACACGTTTTATCGCAGTATCATAAACTTTGTAGATTTTAAGGGAACTGAGTGGGGAAAGAGGATCTACCCCGAGCCTCCGTAACCATTCTTGACTTATTGTAGCCTGCATATAGTATGCTACTTGAAACATTACAATAAGTTTTGGTGTAAAAGTTTTATCTTTCAATTGGTTTGAGTTCTATTTTAAAGGTCGACCACATTACGTTTAACTGGGTTATCTTAGCGATTTTAAACATTCTGCGTTTGTTCTACCGTAGAATAAGGTTTACCACAAAGTAGTTTTTTATTTTAGATAAATGTTGTCGGCAGCATTCTAGTAAAAATGTAAAATAAAGCCCTGGTATTACTTCATCGAACGAATTCCCTGCTAAAATATGGCTCTAGTGCATTCAAGTCTTAATTTTTTTGAAGAGTCACATCTTTTAAGGTTTACTGGTGATTATTTTGGTGTCGTTTTTTATTAAAACTCTTAAAATTTGAAGTTTCAAAAATTTAAACTGCTTAATATTTTGAAAGGTCACTGTTTACACTTTGAAATTTATCCTTGAATTTTGAAATAATTCTCAATAATTTCATTTATTTCCCAAAAACTTTCACTGTATACGTAATTGCAATTCTAACGGAATTTTATTGCAGAACTTCTAATCGAATTAACATAAATGCAAATTTTCTCTACTTCAAATTTACGAGTGTGTGAGTGTATGAACACATAATTTCCGGAAAAGAGTATTTTGAATATTTTGAATATTTTGTACATATTCAGAGAGCTGTAGTGAAAATGCATTTAATTATCGTTAAAAATTAAATAAAATCCTTATTATAACTCCAATTTTTTTGTTTTTTTGTATGATTAAAACACTCCACAACCTGGATGGAAAATAAATTCCACATACGAAGTACAGGTACTTGTGCTTGAATGAAAAAATTAAAAATTTATGAAAATTTTCAAAGTTGTGAAACCAGAAAGGATTAAATTAAATTATGTTTTCTGTGTTTTTGTTTTTAAAGTTTCCTTTCATCTATTTCAATAAATTTTATGTAGAATTTCTCATATGAATAATTAGGTGGATATAAAAGGATTTTTAACACAATATTTTCATAATTAAATGTCAATTTTTGGTGTATAAAAATGGTACTGGTTGCTATGGATGAATTTATAATTATGGAAATTAAAATAAAATTAAAGATTTTGGTCTTTGTATGTTAGGAATCAAGCCAATGAATTTAATTTTTAATAAATTCTCAGTGTGAAGAATTATACAAGTTACGCAGAGCTTGCCATATTAAATATTGTTTAGTTAATCAATTTCACTCAAAAATACTCAAATATTTACCGGCTTGAGTAGATTAATAATGATGTCTTGTCATAGCTTACAATTATTGTGAACAGACTGGCAGAAGCTGTGCTACATTATATAACGCAATCCACTTTGATATGAGATAAAACTTTAAGAAGTTGATCGAAGACAACTGAAATGAAAAAATGTCAAAAGAAGTCGAAACGTGGATTAAGTGCGAGTGTAATAAAACTGTACCTTCCAATTGGGAATAGTATTGGTTTTGAATTTGTGCACTGTATATACAATCAAGTAATAGTCGTAAATTATATAGTAGTTTTTTCGGATAGCCAGGCCGTAATTGAATTAGCTGTTTTGTTTTTCCAATTGGAAAAAGTCAGGGCTTATCCTATACCATAAAACCAAAGTCCTACGACTTACTAATAATACAATCAGAAACAGGTATTTTTTGACAAGGAGAATAAGTCGTACATTTGATGTATTAAATTACTATCTTGAAAGGTGCTTCCGAATTGGGAAGTCCGATTTGGAATGGAGCAGTTTAAGCTCTTTATTATGTTATTAGTTCATTTTGACTGAGAACGGGCGAATTTTTAATTTAATTATTATTAAGACTTAAAGTCAAACTTCCGAAAGCCCAAACCAATTAACTGAAAATTAAAAGCTGTTAGATTTGCTTTTATAGAACTTTAAAATGAAAATTTGTTTTCTGGAACATTAAGGGTCTAAAATTAAATAATTTGTTGTAAAATTTATAATAATATTAAGGCGTAGAAATTTTATGATTACTTACAAATTTATGGCCGAAAATAAATGAATTACAACCATATGGAAAAATTTTTTTCCTTAAATCAATTGAAATTTTGATATTTTTAGGAAAAAAGGATTAACAATTTCATTTATTTATTTTTATAGTTGATTTTTGAAAAAAAAAAGGATCTACGAAAACTATCAATTTTGAATTTAAAAAAATTTGAAAATGTTTTTTGATCTTTGTAAAATAATTTTTGTAAAATTTTATTTAAATTTTAATTTTTCGGTTATTTTGTTTTAAATTTTCTAAAACCTTTGGAGGAAACAGGAAAAAAAAATGTTTTTTGTAAAATTCCTGCTCATTTTTAGCATTTTTTCAAAACATTTTTGCAAAAAGTGCGTATTAGCTTGATTCTTTCCGACCGTCCTTCCGTGGATCCGTTTACAAAACTTCTACATCTTTTAAGACAGACAGCTGAAATTTTACTTATAAATAGATCTTTACTAGAAACTAATTTCCGATGAAGAAAATTTTTATCTATCCCACCCTCCCCCTTTTAAAAGTATATCTTATCAAAATCCTAAAAATGCTATTTTATAGTTGTTTACCGTAACGAAACCATAAACATTTTTTAAATTCTACAAAAACACAGAAGAGTAGTGGCTAGCTTTTTCCACTGCGGATAGTATAGTTGATCATAGAAAAGAAAAAATGGCCGTTAAAATTTACCGTTATTTTAAACCCGTTTTTCCCCAAATTTTTGTTATTGTTTTTTTTAAGACCTCGTGTTGTAGGAATCTGAAATGTTGGTAGTGTTTAGACACGAATAAATAGGTTATCTCGTTAGAAGAACTTTTTTTCTGCACTTCCATTTCCTTCCATTCAAGTTAACACCGGTCGAAATTGGTAAAATTTGCTTTTCCAAATTTCTAAATAAGCAAAAACTAACGGTAAATACCATACCATCAAAAATATAATTATTTTTAAAGCAACTAACTCTTGTATCCTAAATGTATGCAATAAATTCAAATTTTTGGCCGTATAAAAGTAGTGAAAATTGTAATAGATTGTTTTCAAGGGCAGTATTTTAAATTTTTCAAGGTAAAAGTGCTGCTCTACAAACCATTCATTTGGCCCAACTTTATTTCCTTTTCTTTATTTCAAAAGACTTTCTTCTCGAAATAATATCAATAAAATTTTCTTTTATGATTTTTATTTTATGTTTATTTATTTATTGTATTTATATTTTGTTTGTTTTTGTTTTTTTAAGGATAGTTTTCATTCTCTTTGTTATGTTAATATCGAAATTCTATTGATTTCAAATATTATTTTTGATTACAAAAGAAACAAATAAAAAATAATATAAAAAACATTTTTATTTTGAATGAAAGATAAGGGTAGAATTTGTATTATGAAAAGGTTTCATAAGGTTTCGTACGTATATTTCCATTTATTTTATTTAATCTGAAATCTATACTCAGATAAAAGTGTTCTCCATCAAGTATATGATTTGAAAAAAAAGGAAACCCATTTCAATTTTTTCAACTCTCTCTTGTATTCTAATTCGAAATATTATATAAAATGTACTTTGATGTTTTAAAAAGAGAAAAAACAAAAAGAAAATTATTAGAAATTAAGAGAAAACAATAAATTGAGATTCTATTTAAATGATGAGAGAAAATAAAATTTGTACCTTCATATAAGTCCATATACATAGTAGGTAAATATTTTTTTAGACTTATAGCATGTTGTTTATATTTCGATGTTAGCACTTGAACACTTTGGCTCTATATCTTATAATTTACTCATAAAACGGATTTAAAATACAGTCGAATACACATAAAAGCAACTATTTTAAAAGCAAAATTTACTGACAATAATTAAACCAAAGAGTCGAAGTGAAAGATTAAAAACCAATAACTTACAACTGAAAAGCCATGGCAAAAGAATTGCGATACCGAACAATCAAAGTCAAAAGTGTAGGAGTCGAAAAGTCAGTGTAAAAAATTCGTTCAACATTCGAGTCATAAATGAAAAGATTTATTACCAAGGAGTTGGGAGTTGAAGAGTTGATGTTGAAAAGACGAAGTCGAAGAGTGGGAGCCGAAGAATCCTTGCCGAAAAGTTGTAGTCAAGGAGTCTTTACAGAAAACTTGAATCAGTGAATCTAATCTGAAGAATCGGAATCAAAATTTTAAGGGTTCCTATAATTGCTATAGCTTTAATATCGCAATCTGAATTTTGAAATAAGTGTTCATTTAAAAAAAAAATTGTGGATAAAGGTTGATGTCGGGCTTTGGCTTGAGGTCAGCGACTTATTCGAGATTTACAAGTGAATCTACTAAATTTTCAGCAAGTGAATCTACTAAATTTTATAGAGCAAAAATGTCTTTCTCTTCCTCCTAAAAGAGCAATCAAATAATAAAATAATTAAAAATTTAAACTCCAATTATAAATTTCGTTTTTGTTTTGCAAAACAATTCTAATTTAAAATTTTTTTTTATATTTTCAGGCCTGGACTGGTATCTTCGTAAATAAATCAATTACGACCAACAAACGCAAGCTTTTATTTATACGGATGATATTAAAACTACAGTAATTTGAAGTCGGAGTTAAAATAACAAAAAGTTTACTAACCTACATACCATAAAATTATCAAAATTCCGATATAAAAAATAAAAACAATTTTTTTTTTTAACCGGAATTAAATCACAAATCGTTGGTTTCCACGTTTATTACAATATTAATTTAAAAATAATAAAAATTTTATTAAATTTTAATTTTTTACAAATTTTGTGTTTTTATTTTTTGCTCTCTTGCACAGTAAATATTATTTTGCTCTTCTATAATTATAATTTCAATTGTTTTGTGACTCTTTTCAGCCATCAAAATTGTAAAATAAAATATTCAAAAATCAAGTTTTGGAAAATTTTGAAGATCTTATTTGATTTATTGATTACATTAATTTATTATTCAATTATTATTATGGACTTGTGACAAGTAATGTCTTCATACTGGTTAAAATAACACAAAGTAAGGGCAAAAACGACGAGCTTAAACAAAGAGCGATTTTCGAAAGGATTATACTTACATCTGATTCCGAATAAAATTAATTCATCAAAAACTTCAAAGTCTGAATTAAGCTTTCCAAAACAATTTTTCTATTTTCTCTCGTTCTGGTTCACACGACATCAAAATCGAAGTAACTAGACGTATACAAACAATTTAAACTCTTATAATATTTCGACAAGTATTTTCGTCATAATTTTTATATTCCTCATAACCCGGAAATTGGCTCTATTATGACGAGTATACTCGTCTATGACCGTCTATGCTATATAGGTCAATAAAGCTGTATTATAAATATTATTGCATTAGTAAATCTAAATTTTTGTTCTTCAATCAAATTTAATTCATATGGTCTCCCTCTTTCTCTCTTTTCTTTTTTCTTTAATTTTTTCTTTTTTTTTCATTTCATTTTTTTTTTCTCTTTCTTATCAAATTTCAATTTGTATCGCAAATAATATTTTTTTTGATTGCATATCCTGTGGCGTTTTACAAAAATGTTATTTAATAATTTTTTTTCTTTCTTATTTCTCTTCTTATTTTCTTTGTATAAGAAAAAAAAAACTCATACATTTTATTTCAGATGATGTCAAAATTAAAAAATCCACACGTACAATACAAAACAAAGGCAGAATGTTGAGCATTTTATTATTTTTGTATTAAATAAAAATTGAATCTTGAAATAGAAAATAAAAAAAAAATAAAAAAAAATTTTGTAAAACTTTTTAAATTTTTTTAGAAAAAATGGTTGCTCGAAAATTTTGGAAAATCTTAAAATTTAATATTGAAACGAATGAAAACTTAAGATTATTAGAGTTTTTAGGGCGGTTATCAATTAAAAAAGTGAAAATATAACAAAAGTAATAAGTAAGAAATTTTTTGAAAAATTAAAATCAACAACAATTTTCAATCCAAAAAAAAAAATAAAAAAAAAAAATATTTTTTTTTTTCATTTCGTATTTTTGTTTCCGGTTTTTTTTTTCTTTCTCTTGTTAATTTTTAACAGAAAAAATCAATAAAAAAATTATAAAAAGGCCTAAAAAAGTTCAAAACAAAAATTTTATTTTAATTTTATATTAAATAAAGGAAAGCATAATAAAAAAACAATATTGTAGAAAAAAGTGAGAAAATTTAGAAAAAAAAAAATAAATTTTAAATTTTCACCTTTTTACACTGAAAACATTTAAAACTGTAAAAACAATAGAAAATTATTTATTTAAAATTTTTTTTTTGGGAGAAAAACTAAATATTTTATGAATTTTATTTTTCTTACAATACAAACAAAAGGGGCACACAAACCGCCAATAACCGAATAATAACGAACACCCCGAAAATAACCGAACACAATAATTTTACCACGATTCCACAAAAAAATTAAACTCTTAAATTTTTCTAATTTTTTTTTTTCGTTTGTGAATTATTTCAACTATTTTATTATCCCAACGATAATAAGGTACCAAAATAAGCATTAAATACAAAAAAAAATAATAAAACAAAAAAAAAAATAAAAAAAAAAATTAAAAAAAATGGGTTGCGAATTAAGTAAATTAGCTGGTAATCCAAAATCAGATGGTGGAAATGTATTGGGTCCAAGTGAACCACCGCCACCAGCAGCACCAGATCCTAGACTACCATTAACAGCTAGACAAAAATATACAATGATGGCATCATGGAAAGGTATAAGTCGTGCAACTCAAACAACTGGTGTTCATATGTTTATTGAGTAAGTAAATTTGAGTAATTTTATGTTTTTAGTTGATTCTCTTACTTCATTATATATATTATGCGACGTATTTCAAATTTTATAGAAATGAATTAACGGCTAAAACAAGATTTATGTTGTGAGCGAAAACTTGTTTCTTGGACCAGAGCTTTCCTGTGCATTCCTAAATTTGTACAACTGGAGTAATGATGCTCGGCGACCGCGCTTCAGGATCTATTGCCTCGTTCTCTGAATGTGAGACATGCCCTGCAACGCACGCTCGCGACTCAACCTCCTGATGAACTTGATCCAAAGAGCAGAGTATTCTCCTTCTACGAACAAGTGCATCACACTCTCTCATAAATTGTACTTAGATCTCCTCATCCTCCCCGCAAAACCCGCAAGCGTTTTTAACCTCAACGGACTGAATTGCTCCAAAGAATGCAGTGCCCCGACAAGACCCCTTTGATAATTTTCACCTGAATCTCTCTCGAACCTATAATCTTGTTAAATCTCTTTTGGAAGACTTTTCCAATGCTCCGATCACCTCCTTTGCCATTCCTTTATTAAATACCTAAGAACAGTAATGTGGTCGGATCCTGAAGAAATGTTTCGGGCAAAAGAGCCAAAGTTTCCTGTATATAACTTCGGCTTAAATTACGGAACATTAATGATATTTTGATAAAACGTATATTACAGGTATTCTTACAGATAACCTTATGTTTTTGGTCTCGTAATTAGCATAAAAAATTTAAAACACTTAAACAACAGGTATTTAATATTTCGTTTGCAGAGCATTTATTCCTATTTCCCTGAATCGTTCAATTTTAACACACTAACTGTTCCTCGTGTCCATTGACAATTTTTCCAGACCAAACTCAAAATATTTTATTGTATTCTCAAATAAGACTAAAAAAATCACATTTAAAATTATTTGATTTTTCATCATATATAAAAATTTTAGATTTCGGGAGCACTTCAACATAAAATGATTAACTTCTTACAATAATATTAAATAAAAAGTCCTTAAATACAGTTTCAAAACTCTTACGGTGTATATTTGTATGAAGGTATATGTAACTGTTATACTGTTATTTCCCATATAAAAAATTTAATATGTACATGTCGGCATCTAAACAAAATTATGTAGGAAGTCAATTGAATGAAATTTTTTTCTTTGTTACTAAAACTCACAAATTACATACTAACAAACATGAGAGGTATTTAAAATCATTAAATCCTATATACCTTATCTTGTATGCAAACAATGACGAGAATCCTTTCCATTTTTATGTGAAAATACGGTAATTTTAGAGAAAATGAAAAATGTTTAAATCGAAAGTAAAAAAAAAATATAGAAAAACTATAAAATTTTCTTTAGAAAGGATACAAGATTTTTTCCCCGTATATTCAAGTTGTACACAGGTATTTGTGATTTGTGTAAATGTGTATAAGGTTGAACATATTTCTGAAAAGCTTTATATTTCATTTAACTTGAAATACATTTTATGGGATGCAATAATTTCATTTTGAATTTCACTTTATTTTCATGATTTTTACCTTCTATTCTTGCATATCTTAATCTGTGTTCGAATGACTATTATGTGACATTAACGTTTATGTGTTTTCGGAGAGAAAAATGGACTTATATTCCTTTATTTTAAGCTAGTTACTTGAATTCTTTAGTAACATCAAACGAATAACATGCTTTTCTATAAATTTCTATTGAAATGTGAAGGAGAACAAGAAGCAAACAAAAATTTAAATACAAGATTATATTATGAACCTTAAAACAAAGATTTTGGGTTAAAAATTACTAAGCATATAAATAATGTTTAGTGCAAGATCTAGTAATGAAATGGAATAAAATATTTCAAAGGTTGGTTAAGACGCAATTGTTAAATGTATCACTTTCAATGTTACTTTCAGTACATTTCGCGACTCACCGTCACTTTTCGGGATTCATCGCTGTTAGGGACTCTAGTCTAGGAATAGTTGATTTTCCAAACTTTAATAATATGAGCTTTACCTTTGGTAGATCTATGATTTTATGCAGATTATTTGGCCAATGAAAGGCTGCTATATTCGGGACTCACCGCTGAATTTCCGAACTTTAATGATATGATATTTGTCCCTGGTAGATCTGGCTTTATGTATACTATTTGGCTGATACAAACGCTATATTTAAGAAATATATAACAGTTTTTACTTTCTTTTTTATTTGACTTCTTTAAACTATTACTGTCCTTTTCAATTGTTCTTAAGAGATTTTTTTTCCCCCTATAATATAATGAAAGGTCCGCGTAATCAAACCAAACCAAAAAATCATGCTTATTTCTTTACAATTCATTTGATTTGATTCGAACATTTCATTACCCCCGAACACACACCTACCTTCATCACATATAGAGAAAAATTCAATTTATATCACTTTTTTTTTGTATTGTGTTTTACGACCAGTAAAAATCTATTCAACATTCTTCAGCATGCCTGCCATCTGTATTAAAAATGTAACAACTTATCTTGAATAAATTTTCAAATTTTTTTTCTCATTTTATTGTTGTTATTCTTCTTAATTTTACTTTTTGTAAACATTTGTTCCATTCAAATACATTCATACACAGGTAATTACGTTATGCACAATAATAAGTAAAAAGTGACATATGTACACCCTATGTCGATAGAACATACACACACATAAATTATTGTTGAATATTTTACAGTTAAAGTAGGAAAAAAACGAGTATTTTTATTGGTTTTTGAAAACTAGAAAAATATTGACTTCTTCAGCTTGTGCTTCAACTTGTGGTAAAAAATATTTTCAATCTATAATAGATTTATATAATATTTATGTGTATATTACGTATATGTGTATGTATGTTTTTATTATACACTGACTTTTTATTAGGTTGTTAAAATTCAGCACAAGATGTAAGCAAGCAAGCAAGTATTCGAAGTAAATATTTATTTTTTTTTCTTGTTTTCTTTTCGATATTTTGCATGAGTATTACAAAAAAAATTTGATGTGGTCAGCACAAAATCGATTGCAGGTGGTTCGCAGTAAAAATCTATCAAAAATGTAAAATCGGTCCGTAGTAAAGATCCAATTCCAGAGACTTGATATATTAGAAAAGTTGATCCAACCGTGTGAACTGCATCCAACCCTAGATTCAAATATAAAGTTTGGTGAAAATCGATTGACCCGAAAGACAGGCCGACAGAAATTTTTCTGAAAATACTTTATTTACGTTCCACTGTAATGGAGAAACACATTTATGTCAAAAACTGGACATATAAAACTTGGTGCCATCGCATAACCTCTCTTATTGTACGCAATGAGGTCGGTCATGAGTCCTTTTACGTTAATTTTCTCAATGTACACTGGCTTTTTAAATAGTTTACACTGATGTATACAGTATATAGATGTATGGGTATGCATGAAGAAAACAATTGAAGATTGGTTGAGGTTAGAAATAGAGAAAAAAATTTCAAATATTTCTTTTCAATTTTACACGAAAAAAACTAGAAAATTGAAAATAAGTATTTCCCTTGAAGAAATGCTAGTATAACAACAAGTTTTGTATGAAAAGTTAAGTTCAAAAGTATGTGAGTTTGACGATTTTTTCCAGTTATTTTGTGGTATTCACGAATATTGATTATCTCGCTGCATCTTAACTCAAATCTGCAGTTTTTCTAAGAAAAACCATATCACTCTGATAATATAACAAAATAAAAATATATTGCATACTTTTAGGGGCAATTAATTTAGTTAATATTGTATTATTTGTCATGGTTACGTTTTTGCTTTGCAAATTGAAATTTTGTTAATGTTACGGGATAATATACCAAACAAAAAAAGTAGGATATAGGAAAAAAAGAGGGAAACACATTAAATATAACAGTTAATTGTAGGCAAATCTGCATACGGTATCGTTTGCTTATGTTATTTTACGGTTTTAGAAGCAAATGCCATTTTTACTGTACTTGCAAATTACTGATTACTGTGCTTAATTACTGAAAATTACTATGGATTTCCACATGATAAGCCAAATTTTCGGCTAGAAGGATTATCTGTTTGCAACAAAATCTAAATTAAGTAGAAACTAAGAATTTTTTTTTGAAGAAACCCCGCCAAAAAGAATGAAATTTCAAATTTATTATACAAATATCACAATACGAGTATAAAAATAAGAGCTTCGCATAAAATTCAATTGTATAACAAAAAAATCATTACCGTTATTCATATGTATAGTTAGTTATAAAATTTTTATCATAGTTGTTGTAAATCAAATTGAAATCAATAGTGAACCGTAAAAAAATATAGGAGAAAACTACTCTGATGACTGATAAGATAGAAATGAAGAGCAATAATGATTCTGATGATAGTGATAGTGATGATGGAATTTCAATTCTAATGTAATGGATGTTTGAATTTTAGATTAAGTTCCACTTTATATTTAATACTCTTTTCATCATTGGCATCATCATCATCGTCGTTGGCATAAAGATCATAATTAGAAAAATTTTCAATAATCCTTTGCTAATAAAATGAAATAAGTAATAAAATTTATAGATGCATATGTGTGTGTGTATGTATGCATAAATAGAAAATCTAATAAATGATAATTTTGTTTACATTGGTTTTAAATAATTTTTGTATGTATGCACGTGTGTGTATATTTGTGTAGGTATAACAAATATTGATTCTAATTTGAAATTTAAATTATTTTCCACACTATGTGCAAACAACTATATGACGACGATGATAAGTTTATAAAAATTTATTAAACACATTATTGTAATATTGTGTACATATTTACACACACACAAAAAAAAAACAGAATCCTTTTAAAGAAAATTTTGAAAATTAATTTGAAAATTAGAATAAAAAATTATAATTGATAAATAAATATTTTTGTAGTTAATAATGTGTTAGCATAAATATTAAGTATCTTGGTTACAAATATTTCAAAAGTGTATAACCAAAATGTTAATTATAGAATTTATGTTATATATATATA